AAGTTTGTACCAGTTTTTAGTCACTATATGTATAAACAAAATAGGCTGCTTGTTATTAAATTGCGTATTTACAGAAAAGTGTTTTTCATTCGTTTATTGCAAATCACGAAATTCAATAAAAGTTGTGTGGTATACTGTGTCTTTCTAGTAATTCTGTCTAGGCTAAGCTAAGCTAAAATTCATGGTTCATAACGGACTTACAGGCACATTTTGAAGCAAGCCATTTCGAGCAGCACCGAGCTGACCAGTGGATAAAACTGAAGCCGAACGCTGTGCCAACGGTGTTCCCTTTCAGGGGTAAGTTACTGTTTCACTGTGCGTCAAAGATTCTGTATGAACCTAACAGGTGGCAACAGTACAAGGCTAAAATGATTTAGTTTCAAAAATTAGGATGATCCGTGGAATTCCTCGTTTGAGGATATTAAGAAAGTCGGGGTACGTGCCTGCGACCTGAGAAAAGGCATATGTCTGCAACCTATAATACTGCTAAAATCCAGTACAGGCCTGTGATTAGAGCTGGCTACCTTGTAATACTTGCAGCTTGTGACTGTCCTTTTTTGCACTGCAGGCTTGCCTCCACAAAGGAAGGCGCCAAAGGACAGGGCAGGACCTGCTGTGTTGCCTGATGCATGCCAAGAAACACGCGGTGACAACTCTACGGCCATTAATTGTACGCCACTCACAAGTGCACAGGCGAATTTAAATTCACGCACAGACAGTCTTGGCGCACAGCAACCGCAAAGCTGCAATTCTCAGACGCCTGATTCAGTACCGCACATTATGGAAAGGGAAGAAGTTGTGATCTCGGCCGATGCACCTGACGGGGCACGTGAAAACAAGCAGTTAAATAAGCAGCTCTCCGATATGGGCAGAAAATACACTCAGCTACATCAAGTCCATCGGAAAGCCACCTCAACCATTCAAGCACTAAAAAAACAGGTGAAAAAATTGGAAACCAAAATGGAATTATTCGGACAGCGTTTGAAATTCCTCAATGATGACCAGCTGCAGGCTCTTGGGCGCCAGAGTAATAAGGGAAGCACTTGGTCTGCAGAAACAATCAAGCAGGCGCTTCAGATTAAGTTTTCCTGTGGAAAAACTGGTTACCAGACACTAAGAAATCTGGGCTACCCCTTGCCATCCGGAAAAACCCTTGCACGTCGCCTTCAGGGCCTCAAGTTTCTTCCCGGAATTTTGACGGAAGTCATCGATGTTCTCAAAATCAAAGCAGAGAACATGCAAGACATTGAAAAAGACTGTGCTTTGTTCTTGGATGAAATGGAGATTGCTCGCGGGTACGAGCTCGATCGCGCTGAGGATGTGGTGTTGGGGGGGCAAACTATGCCAGAAAATCCAGACGAACCTGCACATCACGCACTAGTGTTCATGGTAGGAGGCCTGAATACGAGATGGAAGCAAGTGATTGCCTACCACTTCACCGGAAGTCATGTAGAGGGTAGTATCCTCAAGGACTACGTCATGAAGATAGTGCAGCTCTGCGCGGAAATCTCTTTAAGAATCCGTGTCGTCACTTGCGACATGGGGGCTTCTAATCGGGCTATGTGGCGCGAGCTCGGATTCTCCAGCCACAGGAATTCCATTACTGTATGTTCAGTGCCTCACCCCTGTCTGGAAGACAAAGAATTGTTTTTCACAGCAGATGCTGCACACGTGCTGAAGAATGTCAAGTCACAGTTGCTTTCATCGGAAGTATTCTTTCTGAGTGATGCAACAGTATGCCAGCACAATCTGCCATCAAAAGAAGTGAACGTGGACCATGTGCGCAGTGTAATTAAGTATGATGCTGAACGAGAGCTGAAAGTCGCCCCGAGGCTCTCAGAGTTACACATTTCGCGAGGCCATTTCACAAAAATGAAAGTGGGAGTTGCTGTCCGCTTCTTCAGGGAAGCTCCTGCAGCGATTCGGTACCTAATTAAAGAGGACGCGATAGAGCCGGAGGCAGAGACAACAGCTTGGTTTCTAGAATTAGTATTCAACTGGTACACGCTAATGTCTTCCCGCCACCCATCAGTTGCTCTCAGCCTTCGAGACATGCGGAGGTACCACGAATCAATTGAGCTACTGAACTCGGCCCTCGAAGTTTTTCAAGGAATGAAGATGGGAAGCAAGGCACAGTGGAAGCCTTCGCAAGCAGGTTTACTAATAACAACAAAAGTCGTTCTTCGTCTCCAAGACATTCTCTTGCGCAGTGAAGGATACGAATTCTTCCTCACGAGCAGAATCTTGCAAGACTGCCTCGAAAATTTGTTTTCGGTGGTGCGCATCAGGAAGCCTGTTCCTAACGCATATGACTTAAAGTGTGCCCTGAAGCTTGTGTGCGTGAGTCAGTTCCTTCATGCACCCGGAACGTCAAGCTACGAAGTCGACGATGCTAAGTACCTCGCCGACATGCTTGCAAAAGGCAAACAAGAGCACGGGGAGGTGGAAGCTGATGTCATTGATGACTCGGAAATTTTGTTCATTGAAGAACTTCAAGAAAACGAATGCAACATCCTTTTCTACATCGGCGGCTTCCTTTTAAAAGGTATGCTGAGTGTTGTAGCGGGATGCGGGCATTGTAATTCTGCCTTGTTAGGCTCAACTGAAAGCGAGCACGCAACTCTGACTATTCTGAAGGAGTACAGGAGTGAAGGTGGCAACCTCACATATCCCAGCAAGGATGTTTTGCTGACACTCAAGTCGTGTGAAGAGCATTTCAGGGGCATCATAAGTTGGAGTGAGGGCTTGCTGCGCTTAAGGTCCCCGTTGAAGGCCGTGACCGATTATTTGAACGAGATGGTGCGCCCTTGCGTAAAGACTTGCTCCGAGCACAGTGACGCCGTAGCAAAACTCCTTATTGCGAATTATGCAAGACTGAGGCTTCGCGTGCATTTGCGCCACGTTAGTTCAAACGGCGTCAATGAACACGGAAGCAAGACGTGCGCTGGGGTAAGCCTTCCGTGACCAGCCGAACTGGACCAGTCACTTATAAATTTTATTATTTTTTCTTTCAGAACACTTATTGTTTGATTAAAATATTTTGAGTTCATTGTGAACTGGCTAACCTCCCTGTCCTTTCTTCATCCTCCTCCTTAAGTTCATAGACATTTTTCTTATTTGTTATACAATATCACATTCTTAGATAAAAACAGCGTTGTGATCTTTAAGCTGACTAAGGTTGTGATCTTTGGAGAATGTTTATGGTAAGTTAATATTATTGCGGTCGAAGCAATACCGACACAGCGTCACAGAGGCAGAATACGAGAGTGATACTTCTCGGATAATTAGATTGCTCGCTTACATATATCTATGGAAAGTAGAAAAACTGAACAGGTATAGGGCATCAAAATCGTTATTACTGCATTTCATCTTGTATTTTCCAATAACTTAGTAAGATTTTTTTCTCAGTGGTCACATAAAAACGAGAGATTCAATTGATGTTTACGCTGTTTCACTATCTCAACCAGCTATAACAGAAAAATAGCTGTGTAACAAATCTGAATCTCATTCCCGCAAGATTATTCAGAGCTGCGAGGGCACGCAAGGCGGGGGAAAAAGCAGGATGAAGTAAGTTCAACGCGTACAATGCGAGCACTACTGAGTGGCTGGCACGCTGCACAGCCACTGAGGAGTGCGGTGAGTTTAGGTAACAGGAAAAGGCGTGCGCTTCATGAATTAATGTAGATTTATCCTGCAAACAGTCTCCAATGACAGACGCACATATTCAGACTGCTTTTTTATAGCGCGAAATACCATTTCTCGCACTAAACTCTTCTCAAACTCTCCTCATACGCGCGCGCAGGCAGTGTGTTTCGTTGGGGTGAGATATGTAATGGCGGACGCTCTAGCAGACGACGCGGTTGTCCCCACCCTGTACGGAGCGGCGGGCGAGGGAAACCATTCAGGCACCCTATCACCTATGAAACATGAGCGCCATCTGACAGTTATCTTAGAAAACAAAGCGCGCGCACGGTGTGCGCACTCGTCTCGGAGGTGATAAGGTGTAGAACGCAAGACGATGGGTAGGTGCCACCACCGTGTCGTCTTAGCAAAGCGTTGAAACACTTGCCTTTCGTGCAAGCGTTGCATGGTCAGCGCAGCGTGATAAATGCTACGGTCCTTAAAATTGCTTATCTAAATAAAATATATAAATTATATAAAATAAATAAAATATAAACATAAATAAAACATATAAACATATAAATTGCCTTGTCTAGTAAAAGATATACATGCAAAATATTGACGTGTTGTTATGGTGCCTCAGATATGCGCAATGATGGCTTTTTAATTGACAATCTCACAAGTATGAAAGCTGAACCTTGAGCAATATTGGTGGGTGCTGCGGATGGAGTCGGCCGTTTAAAGTATAGGCTGGTAACTCCGATGCTTTCTAGTGTGCCGTTAAGAGTGGACAAACAGGCAAATGTACAGACAGACAGACCAAATTTTTTGCGTTGGAGGTCCCAAAGAAAGACCATCGTCTTTAAAAAAAAAAAAATGTTTATGCTGCTTTTTCGACGTTATCCCAGCTGCGGCGGCTGCATTTCTTATGGAGGCGGAAATGTTGTAGGCCCGTGTGCTCAGATTTGGGTGCATGTTAAGGAACCCCAGGTGGTCTAAATTACCGGAGCCCTCCACTACGACGTCTCTCATAATCATATGGTGGTTTTGGGACGTTAAACCCCACATATCAATCATTTTTGTGACGTTCGCAGCCTTTTGTCTACCGTATTTACTCGCGTGATCCTCGCACCCCCGACATCACCCGACAAAAATAAATTTTTTTTTTCCTCGAGTAATTATCGCATCCCCGAAATTATCCGCAATAATGTCGTCTGCTCGTTCTAGCTACTGATGATGATAGCGTGCGTTGTCTGGCGCCATTTTCTAAGCATAGAAACACTTTCGCATGTACTAGAATAGAAGTGTACTATTATTTCACCGATATTCAATTCAATCCAATCCAAGCCAAAGTGGCAAGTGCGCGTTGCGGCATGGCGTTGCGGCGTGTTTTGTATGTTGTGTCAATAATCTTGTCACGTTATGGGGCGATACTGAAGCCACACGGCTGCTTTAAAACTGAAAGTGATTGATCATGCACTAAACAGTGGCATCAGGGCCGCCAATAGGCCCTTTGGAGTCGACGAATTTTGTGTTCGCTACTGGTGACGGCAGCCGAAAGCCACCAAGACGTGTTGGGCCTGCCGTGTGTCAGACTGGGATTGATGGTAAACTTTGTTTCTTCAGAGGGAAACTGCGGACGATTCTGTTAAGTAGCCATAAGCCCAATACTGACATCCTACGCTTACCTTTTGAGGGCTCTTGTTGAGTGACGAACGCTACCGCAATGCCCACAAGCTTTGCGTATCGTATTCTAATTCTCGACTATTTGCTTCCACTTTTTGTGTCAATCTTGCCTTGTGTCAAACCTCTGCTTGTATTGTTGAGGTAAATTTTAATTAGTACTTTTCAAAGCTTGCTGTTGCTGGCGTGAGAATCCCTATTTGCGACCACTTCGTTTTCTTTTTCGCTCTGTACGTTTTCGTGGAAAGTTTTCCCCGCGTAATTCTCGCAACCCCAACTTTGCATCGCTTTTCTGCCGAAAAAAGTGCGAAGATTATGCGAGTAAATACGGTACTAAGGCCTGGTGTCCGATATATAGAATATGGAGCCTTTTTTTTTTTTAATACTTATGGGATGCTCAGAAAAAATATATTTTCGTGTTCTTGAGGTTGTAGTAACTCCAAATCAACGAGAAAGAAAAAAAAAATATCTGCTGGTTAAAAATATTCAGGGCTGAAACAGTTAAGGAAAACTCTTAGGGCTGGGTTACAACACGTCACGAATCGCTCGATTACGATTCTTTCTCGGACACCTTCATAAGTCTTCTCTGTGTCGGACATTTTCATCCATCTCTCAAAATAATTTGTCAACTACAAACTAACTGTTTACCCGTCTGTGCATCTTCGGGTTTACATTTCCAAGTCTAAGGCCGGAATCCTTCTGCTGTTAGCTTGAATTGCTGAAAGAGCGCTTTTTACAGTGAAAGCTGTTACGAGATCAAAACTCGAGTCACGCGCGGCGCCGTAGTTGTAGTTCTCCGCCGCTGCCGGCGTCTGTGACCACATCACGCGAAATTAGAAAAAAAAAAAAAAACTAGTACATATCGAACTGGTGTCCGCTGGTTGCCAGTCCAGTATTCTGCCACTGAGCCACGCCCATGCTTGAAACTTCTTGGCAAACTTGCCTTAGGCAGGCTTGATGTCTGGGAAAGCTATCACGTTGATACGACTTATACCGCGTTTTAAAACAGCGAAAAAACAACCGGTCATCGCACAATGCGTATAGCGTAACGAGTGGGTCGTGCAACCCATTACAAAAGCTTGTTCTTGTTCACCTATTAACTGTGGCGCATACCCACTTCAGGCATAATTTCTCATCCTCATCATCCACTGCATGAGGGATCAGCACAAAATTCCTACTTTGAGACAGTCAGGCCAAGCTCGACTGCTGCATCGCGGGCTCTCTAGTCTAGGAATAATATTATCCGCATAAAACACCCAATAATAAGAAGCCGCAGCCAAAAACAAAGGCTAGAACAACTTCAAAAGAAACTTGACAGGATGTTTCCAAGGGCGCATTTGAACTCGCAATGTTGCCAGAGACAAGACCAGCAGGCGCTAGCAAAATCGTCTATATGCACCAAAACCACAAATATATCAACAGCATGTGACGAATGATACTGGGGGTAAAGGTAACTGAAATCGCCAAAGATTTGGACTGTTGCATCACATTTTACCACTGGGGCCAATGGGGTTACCCATCCTGCATGGAAAACTGGTGAAATGTCTTCGGCCAGGAGTTGATCTAGCTCCGCTGAGACGATGTCTCCGCCGAGCTACAATGGTCAAACAATAAACCTTAACCGATTCATTGTTTCACTTTAGTGTCCCCTTAGCATTCGGGCAAAGATATTTCTCTTTCTTCTGCTTCTTTTGTCAGGAAAATAAATTATTTTTCAGGAGGATGTTGACAAAGCGGTAAAGGCTGCTCGAGCGGCGTTCATTCGAGGCTCGGAGTGGAGAACGATGGACGCCTCAAAGAGGGGAAAGCTGATTCTCAAGCTGGCAGACCTGATGGAAGAGAATTTGGATTATATGGCTGTGAGTGCAACATAAATAGCTCAACGTCATTATGAAAGTATGAGTTCAATGTTTACGTATGGTGTCAGTCGGTAAATTTTTCCGTTGCCCGCTTCGTGTGCGCAAGCGGGGTATAGAAGGGTATTTTGGCAATCATCGCTCGTGTTGGTGCTACACGTCCCGAAGAAAGGAGCCCCTTCTTCCGTACGCACCTTCGCATTCTAAATTAGTCAAATGGGGCATCACCAATCTGTGCTTTAGAAATGTACTCCTAAAAAGATCACAGCATATCCACGGTGTGAACGATTATGACGTCCGTCCTTCTGTCGGTCCATCTGTCTGTCCGCCTATTTGTCTGTGTGTCTGTCATTTGTGTGTCCGTTTGTCTGAGTGTTCATTCGTGCATCCATTCGTTCGTACGCACATAAGTTCGTCCGGGCGTCCGTCCATGCTTCGGTCCATTCGTTCGTCTGTCTGTCTGTCTGATACGGCCAGTGATGCCTGATGCAGGGCTAGGTTAGACTAAGAAGAGCGTCCCCCGAAAACTGAGCATCTCACTTGGAAAAGCTTTGGCATTTCGCCAGTTTCACCCATCTGCGCAGCTGGCTACCCTAAGCAGCTGCTCACGTCAGTGGCTCACAGCTTGTTCAAATATACACACTGGAAGTCCTGAGGCCGCTTTGCAGACACGCAGAAGCAAAGTGGTTGTTGTGACATATCTGCATTACCTGAGCCACAACCTAAAAAAGATTGGCAAAAGAGTTGGTGTAGCCATCATGTTTTCCGTCCCATTAAAGCTTTCTTGGTTGTGTGCATGTGTAAATAGTCCTACGCAGAAGCATTATAATAACTACAGCGAAAAAAAAAAACGTCACGATCAGTTTGTACCATGCGCGTGGAGGGTGTTCTCTACTGTATCACCTTGTCATGTAGGAAAAAGTATATTGAGCAAACGGGCAGATTCCTGATGATCGCATACGAGAACATTCTAACAATGTAAGCAAGCTGGCAACGAGTCTGCCCAGAGGACAGGAGCCCGCCAGAGTTTCCGGGAGATGTCGAGGAGAGGAGCCGGAAGCTGTTAATTACAGTAACTTTTGTTTACATAATTTATAGGTAGCGTGTTGCTATACATGATGGGGTTAGCATCATGGAAGCGTTCGAGCTTCTGTGAGCTTCTCGGAGCTTGTGAGAGCTTGTCGGGAGCGTCTCAGCGCTAGCTTTTATGTCCTAGTTTTCTCAGGATTCCCTGCATTGAAAAACAATGGAAGCCAGGACAGTCCAATCAGTCCAATGAAAATTGCCATCTTCACCTCCGCCCTCGAAAGGGGAAGGTGAAACGCCGCCTCCTTTCCGACCCAGGAAAGATGGAAGAACGCCCGGTTTGTTTCATGACAAGGGAGAAAACACTGCACACCACGCATTACGCAGCACAGCACGAAGACGTTGAGTTCTCGGCTGTCTGTTGCAGTGATGTGTATGCGGCACCAGGCAGACCACGGTTCGCGGACACGATGGCATGGCGGTGAACGTGAGAACGCACTCGAACACAGATCTCAGTTGCTTGGCTTATTGTTCGCGGCACTTCGACCACCAAAGACACACAGAGATAACTACCCCTTTTTAAGACGTTTGGACTGTAAACAGCCCTTCATAGGCCGTCGTGGTCGGGTAAGTTCAAAGAAATCTACGAGTGGAGGCGGTTGCGCCGCAAAATATAAAGTTAGGCGTGCGCGTCGTTGTCGCTTGTGGTTCACCTTTGAGAGCGCTGTCTCGTAACAGTCTCACATCCAAGCGGCGTCATGTCAGGGAGACCGATCATAACAGAACACTGCGTGCACTGTGACGATTAGCCCATCTTTAATAAAAGTGAAGTGATTACGAGAAATTCAGATCAGATGACCAGGGAAATTGCCGAGGTGTTCGAAATTAACAAAAGCAAAGGTTGTGGATGGTAATCTATTTCATTGTCTTAACAAGAGATATCATTCTTGTAGCGGTAATCATGGCGGTTTCGCCGTAAAGCGATGTATTGGTGCGAAGGTGGTTTGGGCATTTTTTCCATCTCTCTTGTGCGTCGGTATTTATGCTGTTATCAAGTGCAGCAAACCTCAGTTATTAGTAGCCACGTGTCCTCGCGTCTTCGTGCTTCCTTGCTCTGAAACATGAGATGCAGTGCCAACTAGCCCCTCAGTCGGTTTTATTGAATTTATGCTGATTTAATGGATTGCGACTCAAAAAAAATATACCTGAGGCCACACTCGTGTTTTTCAAGCCCACGAAAGTGCTTACTAAGCAAATGAAAATAGAAACGAAATAAAAAAAGAATGGTTGACGAAGACAGCTATAGGCAGGCCGCTGGTCGCGTGTTTCAAAAATTCAGACCCCTGCTATTGATTAAATCTGACAATACAGTCAGCTTCTTCTGTGTAGTTTATTACTGGCCATCTGCTTTTGTTGGCTTTGAGAACGTTTTCAAAGCTGATTGCCGCTCTTTTCAGAGCCTGGAGACCCTCGACAATGGCAAACCTTTCAAGAGCGCAGTGGGGGATGTCATGGCTGCTGTAGCCACCATTCGATATTTTGCTGGTTTTGCAGACAAAGTTCACGGCAAAACTATACCCATGGGTGAGTCCTGGTCAGCCAGTGTTTCATGCATGCCTGCACTGACAGTCCTATTCAAGATTGCGCACTGATCATTCCGTGTAAAATTGAAGGAATAATTTCTTAGCATTAAGGCTACAGATTTATAGTCATTACGTCCAAAGATTTATAGGCAAAACAATTTGATGTCTCTACAAACTTGTAGAATTAATTTCACTAGGCCTAAAAGTGCGATATTTTATCCAAATGTTTACTCACGTTTTCCATACTGTACCCTAGTCTGGGGTACAACATCAACCACCAACTTTAATAAACTAGAATAGCTGCAAAAGAAGGTGTTCAGAAATTTCGGAACTTAAACCGGGCACCTAAGCCTACTACTACCCACTGCTTTGCTATTCAATAAACATATGCTAAAAGCTTTTAAATGACACGGTTATAAACTCTCCCTTTATATTGTAACGAACAAATACAGCGCCGGAAGCTAAAACAGCGATTTATTAATGGCGAACTTGTGCCCGTAAACTAAATACACAAAGGTTGTCCTAAGCTCGCTAGTGAAAATCTTGTCAACGTCTTTTGCGTCTCGCCTCATGCCGCTCTTTCGAAAAACCGCCAGCCTTCTTTTTCCAGTGCGTGTTGTGGTGACACGTGCAGCCAGCGTTACATGGGGCGTTTAGCTTGGCGCGTTTGGCTTGTCAATTGGTGTGGCAGAATTCATAAGAGCAGGAAGCGGCGCAAGACTTCGGTAGGTGCCTAACAACTTGCGGCAATATGCATAAAAACAAGCTTCCGAAACACGCAAAACACACTCATCATAACTACAGCATACGTAACAGGCAAACATCAGTACCCCCTACACGCACTAACTAGGGTAGAGCTAGACTAGAGTATTGCATACAAACTCTTTACAATTCTTTAAAAGCCCACATAAATTTCAGTGCTTCTTTCAGTGTGTCCAAATCAGATGTGCATGATCACTTGATGAAGATATAATTTTTTCGTGTGTGCATCATGTTTACGAGTGCTCCGATGTTCCTTGTATGTGGCTTTTAGATTTTCTTCGTATTATGCTGTTTGTTTTTGTTTACGGTGTTTACAACAATGTAGAATCCGCTGCATGTGCTGCCCTCTGTAGGCCCCCAGGTCCTGTCGAGCTGTTTGCACAGCTTTTTGTCTTGGGGGACCCCTATAAATTCTGGTGAAAATAAAGTGGAGTCTGATTTTGATAATGAAAAAATTGGCAGATCCCACGTACAGGCATGAGCACAAGTGTGCAGACCACGAGATCGCGTGGCCGAAGGCATGGAAGCGCTATCTAGCGACGAGACGCCATGCTGCGGTGGGCAAGCGCATCCCGTCATATCACTTGGCTTCTCGTGTCGCTCTCTCCGACGCGCTCGTAGCCAAAACGACACATGGGGGTCGCTGCCTTTGCTCTATCAAATTTGTGCAGTTTTTTTTTGTTATGATAGAAAGTATACGTACACTCTCAGCTCAATTTTGTCACCGGCGTTGTTGTCACTCACTGTATATTTATACGTACCTCTATATATGTAAACTCAAGAAAAACAAATTCGGCAGATCCCACGTAACTGGGAATCGACGTTACGCGAAGCATGCGTTGGGAAGGTGACCGTGTTGCAATTTTTTTATCGGGCAACATGTCACGAAGTGACAATAAACATATGTACAAATGTTGCACGCTCAAGCATATGTGGAAGAGTTGCAGATGTTTATATAACCAGTTGTTTGCACTTGTGCAACGATGCCAAGTGGAACATTTGTATTAGCAACACTAGAAGCTGATATGAAGCGCTGATGCTCAGGACGATGCTGGCTCTGGACACTGCTACATAAATCAACTTCAGCACATGGTAACTAACCACAGTTGACGTTAACCCGATGTGACGGCTGTATCAAAGGAGTACATATGTAATGTTTATAAAATTGGGTTGCCAGCACTGCAACCACTATTGACATTTTGCGAAGATTGGTGTCTATTTGAAAAGCAGTTCCGAGACCTGACGTAGCTCTGTGGTGGAATGCTTGACTGCCACGCAGAATGCTTGGGTTCGATTCTAGTTGTGACCCAGACATTTATTATTTGCATTTGTCGAGTCGATGCTGCCGATGTCAGGTATTTCTTAATGCTCATGTGTTAAAATTGCCCATGTGTGTTCTCGTAGTTCTTGAGTAAATACTAAGTGTCAATCACCTGTGGCACATACCCACATACCAGTGGCACACACACGCACGTGGGTATGTGCCACTGTCTAGCAGGAAGTGTTTGATTACGTATGCGACGAGATTGTGATATTATTCATGTTTTGACCAGTGGGTAATATTCGTCAAAACATCTTCGGAACGGTTTGGTAAATACCTCATTGTTCAGACGTGGACCTTTTCCCCAGGCTTCAAGAGCAACTAAACAGGGGTTGGGAGAACCGGTGCAACGCAACAGCGACAGTGATCGCAAGGAATGTATTTTGGTGTTTTTTTCAAGCTGCGGTGGGAAGTGGATGAGAAGTGAGCCCGAGGACTGAAACTTCACAATGTATCACTGGAATATGCTTAATTTAGCCACTAGACTATTTAGCGACCTGGACTCAAAACACTTGGCTTGATTCTATGTATATCATGGGTTGTTCGGCCACTCGTTTATTTGTGCATTTTTTTTCCTTACATAATACACGTGCTATGCGTGTGTGGAAGTACGCACATGCACACGTAGTTGTTTGACCACGTGTGCGTGTCAGTATGGACCCTTCATTCCTTCTTTCTCCTCTTTTTTTATTCCTCTCTCTCTCGGCTCGGCGATGAAATAAAAGCGCGCTGCAGCCTAGTATATTTTGTCTGATGAAGATGTCATATATATATATATATATATATATATATATATATATATTGCAACGAGCAAGGTTGCATAAAAACACAGGTTGTTATTCGAGAAACGTTAGCCACAACAAGCTGGTACAGGCAGGAACCCGGCAAGCACAAGCCACACACGGACGTCAACGTCTTCTTTCACGCTGGCACAGAGCTGGCGCCACTATGCTTCGGTACAGTTACTCCCCGCACAGAAAGGAGCCAACCTGGCGACCTAGGGAAAGGACTCGACAAGGGGGTCATAGCAAGGTTTGAGGCGTGATACGTGTACTGTTTCACGCCCACGGCAGCGTTGGTCCGAAGGTGGATCAATGGGCTCAACTTCATAGTTGACAGGAGATGTTTGCCGCACCACACAGTAGGGGCCATGGTATTTCGACGAAAGCTTCGGGGAAAGACCGGGAGGGGTAGACGGGACTCAGAGCCAAACCAGCATTCCTGGGTTATAGCGTACAGTAGACGCAGAGGAATCGTGGTCAGTTTTCTGGCGCCATCGGTCTTGTGCGGTAAATTAGCGAGCGAGTTGACGACACTCTTCGGCATAAGCAGCTGCTTCGGAAACAGGCGTCGCTTCGGAAACATCAGGCCTGCAAGGGAGAATGGTGTCTATGGAGCATGATGGCTCACGTCCGTAATGAGGAAGAAAGGAGAAAAGCCAGTGGTTGTTTGTGGCGCAGAGTTGTACACGTACGTGACAAAAGGGAGCACTTGGTCCCTATTAGTGTGGTCGTCAGAAGCGTACATGGCAAGCATATCTCCAAGGGTACGGTTAAAGCGTTCCGTCATGCCATTGGTTTGAGGATGGTATGCCGAGCATTTCCGATGGACAGTGCACATGCCTTGAGCAGCTCGTCGACGGCGTTCGAGAGAAACACGCGTCCACGGTCACTCAGTAATTCACTAGGTGCACCGTGTCGCAAAATGAGATGGTGAAGAAGAAAGGATGCAATGTCTTTCGCAGTGGTAGCAGGCAGCGCAGATGTTTCAGCGTAGCGTGTCAAATGATCCACGGCGACGATAATCCACCAGTTGCCTCGAAGAGAGTTGGGTAGAGGACAATAAATATTAATTCCGACGCGGTCGAATGGTCTCGCTGGGCAGGTTAAGGGTTGCAAAGGGCCAGCAGTGCTGTGAGAAGGCGTCTTGCGTTGTTGACACGTGATGCATAACCGAACATACTGGCGAACGTGCCGATACATGCCGCGCCAGTAGTATCTTAGACGAAGGCGAGAGTAAGTCTTAAATACTCCAGCGTGGCTACACTGGGGGTCATCGTGAAAGGCAGCGCAGATGTCCGAACGCAAATGACGAGGGATGACAAGGAGCCACCTACGGCCGTCCGTCATGTAATTGCGGCGATACAACAAGCCTTCACGGACAGCAAAGTGTCTTGCTTGACGAGAGAGGTAGCGTGAAGTCGTTTCTGACGAACTGTGAGAGAGGACGTCAAGCAAAGAATTGATCCAAGGATCCTTGCGCTGTTCGGATGGCATGTCAGTGATGCTCAACGATGACGAATCGCAAATGGCAGTTGATAAGCAGGCAAGGTCAGGAGGCAGTGGAGAACGGGATAGTGCACCGGCGTCTGAATGTCTGCGTCCTGAGCGATAAACAACAGTGATGTCGTATTCCTGAAGGCGTAAAGCCCAACGGGCGAGGCGGCCAGTAGGATCTTTCATGGACGCTAGCCAGCATAAAGCATGGCAATCTGTGACAACATCAAACTGGCGTCCTTAAAGGTAAGTGCGAAATTTTCCTATAGCCCAAATGATAGCCAAGCACTTCTTTTCCGTGGCGGAATAGTTGGACTCTGCCTTCGTTAGTGTACGGCTGGCATAGGCGACAACGTACTCGTCGCAGCCATCCTTGCGTTGAGCGAGAATGGCACCGAGGCCGACACCGCTTGCATCCGTGTGAATTTCAGTGGGTGCATTGAGATCGAAGTGGTGGAGAACTGGCGGAGACGTGAGTAGCCGGCGTAGCGCCATGAATGCCTCATCGCAGTGGGAGTTCCAGCCAGAGAGGTCCGCGCTACGGGAGAGAAGCTCAGTCAGAGGGGCAATTATAGAGGCGAAATTTTGAATGAAACGCCGAAAATAGGAACACAAGCCTACGAAACTACGAAGCTCCTTTAA